TGAGCTTTTGGTTCTTGTTTGGATATGATAGCTTATAAAAGATTACTATTATTATTTATGCATGTATTGAATGAATCTTTCATATGTTTGAAATATGTGTGCTCTATAAAAGTTGGTGCATAAAATTGCTAACAATTGGTATCAAATTGCTAAAGATTTTTTAAACTTTCATAGATGCTTATTTATGTACCTATCTTTGATATAGCTTATACCTTCATGCAAAATTATGTGTACCTTAAATTGATTAATTCTTATTTTGAAAATGAAGAAAAATCTTAGAATATAATTTTGCTTGATTTGTTTTCGGATAACAATTGATATGTGTTGTGATAACATATCTTAAACAATTGTATCTTTAATAATTTATATGAGCTTGTATGCATATGCTTGAATTTATGCTTAATTGCTATTGATATTTTATGTTCTAAACACATCTTATGATAACATGATTTATGAGTAGGTTGTATATCATTTATTATCCTTTTGCTCATAAATTTCATGTGGTTAAGTTGAATGAATGATTTTGTGTTATAATATTTTAATTGGATACATTTATGCTTTTGTGCTTGAATACATGTATGTAAACTTTATTGTACATATTACACTTGATTACATGCATTCAAAATACTCTTGATATTATTGCTATCAAACATTTTGTCCCATGCTTTAAATTGATCTTTTTTCTTGAAATGTTAAAAAAAAGAATTTAGAGATATTTTTTCTTGTATACTTATAGCAATTGATATAAGAGCTTAAACATTTGTATAAAAAGTTTAAACAAAAAGAAGAGAGAAACGTTTAATGAATATATTTGCTAATACCTTCTTTTTGTGTTTACGAGTTTATTTTCTCATGCTTTTTTGCTATAACAAAAAAATGAAGAAATACCATATAGACAAAATTGCTAGTGCTTAATATGCATATGTTTGATTGTGCTTATTTCATATATGCTCTAACATATGTTAGTTGAGTTGTATTGGATTAGAATGCATAAATTAAAAGAGAGTTTTACCATGCATTATTTAAGGGGGAGTTTTTCAAAATGTTTTTCAAAATCTTAAATGTTTTAAAAAAATTTTCTTATCAAGTAAATTTATCTTTAAGTTTTGTCATATAAAAAAAGAAAAGATTGTTAGTCTTGAATTGATCTTTATTTTGAAATGATAAAATATTAAACTAAATAAACTTGATCAAAATTTTGAAAAAGATTTATTTAGTACATATTCTTAAGTTTTATATTTTTGTACTAAATAAATAATATATTTTTCATAGTGTAAACAAATCTTTTTTTGTTTTCATATTTCTCAAACCAAATCTATTTTTAAAGATTGTTTATTTAAGCTTAAATGAAAGTCCAACTGTTATTTTTAAAGTAAACTTATTCATTTTGGACTTAATATAATTTTAATAATATTAGTTTTAAGAAATAGATTAACTTAAGAAAGGTGTTTTACAAAAACACAGTTTTTCAACATTGAATTTGTTTTATTTTTCTGTATTAATTTACAAAACTTTAATATTTGAATTTTATATGGTTGAAAATTTTTTTGAGTCTACTTACTAATGGATCAAATAAAATCTAAATCTAAATTTTTTTAAGAAAATATTTTAAATTTTTACTAGACACTTTGCAGTTATCTAAACACTATAGAATGGTAGTTTTGAAAATTCATTATAATTCGTATGCAATGAATTAAGCGATAAATTTTATATAGATAGAAAGCCATTTAAGTCTAGTGTCTAAATCTTCAAACGATTTTTTATTTGAAATTATATAACTCAAGACATGATCAAATTAATAAGTAAAGTGTAAAATAAGAGACAATCATGCAGCTTTGATAGAATCGATTCCTTTAAGGAAAGGATCAATTGATTTTTTACCAAGAACGTATCTTTGTGCTCCAAGTTGAAAAAAGGATCAATCACCCTATATAAGGGATCGATCACCCCCTTGACAGGATTGATCCCCTATATAAAGGGATCGATTGAGTTATGAATTTTTAAGGTATGAATTGGCTTTCAAAACTTGAACCAATTGATCCCTTCAGGGAAAAGATCGATTGGGTCTGCTCAAAAACATCTCCAACGACTAGTTTATCAAGCTTCAATGGCTATTTTCTTCTCTCAAGCTTCTCCAACAATTAGTTCTTCAATTTCTCTATATATTGACCACTCCAACACACCAAGAAGATTGATGAATCAAGAAAGAAAGAGTCAACAAGCTATGTTTTAATTCTCTCAAAAAATCAAGAGTTTTTAGAGCTTTAAAGTCTATATTTTTGTATTTGTTATATCCAAATCATTGTTGTTGTTCATTTATCAAATTTCTTTGTACCTTATAAGGCAAACACTTAACCTTTGTAAGGTATTTTAAGTTTGTATTTTTATTAAGTGATTTTATAATTAAGAGATAAGTTATCATCTTGAATTTGTGAGATTGAGAGGTTGTTACTTAATCTAAAAAGTAGAGAGTGTAAGGTTTCTATCTTAAGCCTTAAAAAGAAAAAGATAAGAATGTAATTTTAATTCAAGATTAGTAGATTTAACCCTTGGTGTAAACAACCAAGAAGAGAGAACATAAATGCCTTGTAAAAAAGACCAAACCTCTATAAATCATTGTTTGAAAAAAATTTTTAAAAATTCAATTCACCCAATTCTTGAATCATTATCTCACCTAAAAAACTAATAGAAGAAATGCTCAACACAATTGCATCTCAACAATCTGCCATGCCTCAAATGCAAGAAACTTTTCTTAAAGAACAAGAAACTTCTATCAGGAATCTAAAGATTCATGTACGTCAAATTCATAACACCCTTAGCCCCTATCATCAAGATACCTCACTTAGAAATATCGAGTCCTTACCTTTAGGAGTAGGGGAGGAGTACTACAGGGAGCCTAAGCACAAAATGCCTCGACCTATAAAACCTTTAAAGGAAACTACAAATTGGAGTAGAGATCAAAATGAAAAGAGGCAAGATTAGGAGTTATGTCATGTTTTTTAATCTATAAATGATAGAGTTTTGTGGTGATGCTATGGAACCCTACCCTTTAGAATTTTAGAGGAATAGGTCACCTCCCAAGAAACACTGATTTATAGTCAACAACAACTTGACTATCACTAGGGTTAAGTAATCACCCACATTTGGTACCAACATCCATCCACTTTCTAATCTTCTTTCTTTTCACGTATCTTCAACAATAAGCTCAAATCGATGATGCTGAACAGAGACTTTCGACCTTCATCTGGCCAAATTTTATATGTGTCACCTACTGAACTGGGAATAATGGTCATTAGTTTTAGTTCTAGAGTGAAAGTACTACCATAGACAATCTAAAAAAGTGTAGAGAATGAGGTATCTAAAGTGTCAAGTTGAGGGTCAAAAGATATGGGAGCCTCTAAACTATTAAAGAACACTTTGACTATATGTTCATCCTCATCATTTAAGAATTCCTCAATTTCATCCTCATCAAGCTCGTTTGCTAAATTGGATGGACACAAAACAGCCTAATTTCCCTTTCATGCAACATATGAGTCGAAGTAGCTCAACATCTTTGTCTGTTTATTCCATTGATCTACCAAATGATATGCCATGCATTCCATGCAAGTGTGGTCAACTCCTTTCATGCACATGCAACATGGAATCAAGCAAATTTCACCTTGTCTTTTTTAATCTTCTAATTTTCTACACATGAAACAATTAAAAACAATTTGGTGGTAATTAAATTAAATTGCTAAGAATCAAGCAAAATTAATTAAGTAATTGACATAATTAAATCAAATAAGTTTATGATAATTCTATAAAAATTAAAATTATTAGTTAAAAATGTGTTAACAATGATTGCAATGCCTAAGCCTTAATTGGATAATAGAAGGCTTGGTTGGGAGCTTAAGGAATTCCAATAAACTATACTAATTTTGATTTATATTTAGGCTAGGTAATAAGGGAGCTTTATTGAATATTTGTTGTTGCTACTTCCTTTATTTGTAGTGCAAGTGAAGTTGTTTTAGGCTCAGAAGTGAACTCTAGGAATCCATTCATTAAGAATTTTATTGCCTTCACTAATTAAAGAAACAGTTAAAAAACCTTTTTAGCAATTATGCCTTTGTAGTAGTTTAATGAATGAATCAATCCTAAGCCTGATGTCTGAAGAAACTGGGAGTGATAACAAACACTTTTTTTTTTTGTCAATTACAGTTCTTTGAACTAGAATCCAGATCTGCTAAGCAACACTATTTTATTACCTAAACCTCTCAAAAGCCATTATCAAATCCTAATGAACGTCTATGTGGACCATGTCAACAAAAAGATAGTTTATCTGCATGGGAAATTATTGCCAGTCCCAGAAAGAGCCCTACACAATGTCAAATCTTTAACCTTTAATTACAATAAAGAAAAAAATAAACCCTAAACAGTTGTTAAGACAGATAAATCATCTTCCATTATAAAGATGGTCCTACAATGAAGAGGTAATCATGCCTCATGGATCAGTCACAAATGCAAGATATGTCCATTTCACATATGAATAGGATATAGTCTCACAAAAGTGGAAATATTCCATGATATGAGAACATGGATGAATGGTTTGAATCCAACAATTTCATGATTAATGTTTACATATTAATATAGGAATTATGTCACTATCTTTATCTAACTAATGCATATGTGAACTTATGCATAAATTGTAGTATATGCACAACAATCTAGTTAGAGGTTAGCAAAATTTGAAAGTACCTGCTAACATGGGAAACAAAATGACAGAAACAAAGAAATATAAAGGAAAAGCATCATCAAAGAGAAATAATTTTTAGAAAAAAGACACTAGAAGACAATCATATAAACAAATTTAGATCATGTGATAAGAAAGGATATTGAATACAAGCACTTCCAAGGCTAAAAGAAGTGTGAAAACAAACAAGAAAGCAATTGGATGAATAAGCAAAAAAGGGGGTTTAGGAGTCAAAGAGATATATGAACAAAAAAAAAAACAAAAATCTCACATTTGCAATTGAAGAAGCAGAAAGTGCCCCACCCATAGTTTGTTGACTAACAGCAACCTTTTGGAACTCCATATGCAGCTCTGGAGCTTGAGAAAACAAACAAACAAGAAAGCAATTGGATGAATAAGCAAGAAAGGGGGTTTAGGACTCAAAGAGATATATGAACAAAAAAAATAATAATAAAAATCTCACATTTGTAATTGAATAAGCAGAAGGTGCCCCACCCATAGTTTGTTGACTAACAGCAGCTTTTTGGAACTTCATATACAGCTCTGGAGCTTGAGAAAACAAACAAATTTGTTCACAAATATTCGTCATCACACATCATATAAACAAGATATCCCCCTAATTAAAAACATAGCCAATTCATAGCATATAGTATCACAAATAACTGTATGCACAAAGTCAAAGCATGTGGCATCAACATGACCCCACTCCTCCACACGCAGTCAGATAATCTTTCTTCTTTTTCTCAGGAATATGAACACAACCATTAGACACAAATGGGGATTAAAGAAACTCAAACCAATCTAATGTAGGTAAAACAAAAGGAAAGCACCAATCTACACTAAACTTAATAAGCACAGCTTCATGGTCCATACCAACTTGCAAGGTATTATCCGCTTTAATCCATTGAATCTCATGATTTTGTCTCACAAAAGGCACAAAAGGAGGCCTCAAGTTGAAGATGGTATGCATACTTATGTCCCAAGTCGAATTTTAGTACAAAGCCGATGTGAGATTCGTGGCTCAGACCATGACACACAGGCTGCTATAACTTGCTATAGCAATAAAAAGAATCATATTATGTAATTCTACACAAGCTATAACCTTATCATTTATGAAGCAACCTGCTTTGTCCAAAAAAACTAAGCCCAGATTACCACATCATCGAAGTTTATTTCAAAATAATTAACATATCAAACAATACTGCTAAAAGGTTAAAACATACACGAGCTGAAGATTTATAGGAAAATTTCTGAGGTTTATTTACACGCAAGTGAAAATTCTCTAAGTACAACAAGAAAAGGCAAGTTCACCTTTACTGCAACTTCTAAAGACTTTTGATATAGCTCATTGCCAGGATGCTACCAAAAAAAAAAATAATAATAAAACCAAAATTAGCTTCCAAAACCTTCAGAGAAATTTTGAAAAATACGGAGAAAAAAAAGGACGAATTTACCCCATCTACTGCTCTTTGGAAAAACTGAGCAGCGTTATCAAAAGAAACCTTTGCCTCATCAAGATCGGAAGTCATAAAAGCGGTGGTGGAGAGTGCATTTCCCATGCACCATAAAGTTTCGTGCCTTGAGGGATTTATCATCAAAGCCTCATCCAATTTCGAAATTGCATCTATAGCACCAATATTCATTGCATTAGCAAATAATAATACTAATAAAAGGAAAATAAATTCAAGAACAAAATAGAATACCGTCTATCATCTTCTTTGCATCTGAAATAGTCTGAAATTGAGGTAATTCGAGTAATGCTCCTCCCCATTTGGTTAAATTCTGCAACCATTTTTTTAACAGATAAAGATGAAATTTGAAGCAAAAAAAAGAAAAAGAATAAAACAGAAAAAAAGAACCTCGGCATCAAGAGGGTCCTTGGCGTAGTTAAGTTCAGAGGTTTTCCAAGTGTGTTCGGCGACTATTCGGCGATCGAAGTCGGCTTGAGAAAACTCCATTTTTTTTTTTTTCAGTTTCCAACTGATGAGCGTAGCCGCTAGGGCTTTTATATTCGGCAAGAGAAGTAGCGAACGGAACGGAGGAGCAAAGCGAAGTTGGACAAATAGACCGTGATGGCCTCAACGACGCACACACCGAAGCCTAATTTTAAGCTCGAACATGTCCCCTAATTCAACCCTTTTTGTTTTTGTTTTTAATTATTTATTTATTTTTATTATATAATAAATTATTGACTATTTAAAATTTACATTCATAATAATTATTTCAAATTGGTTTTGTTTTCAAACTTCAAAATAAATTTGCAATGAAGAAAATGATCGTTATAATCAACATATTCAAACTTCCAAGCATGCGTTTTTAAGCACTTTATTTCATCGATGGTCAGCACTCGGTAGCATTATCAAGAAAAGACACTAGGGATCAAGCAATTTTGAGGAACCAAGCTCTTTTGTACGTAGGACCAACAGATGGCGCTGACCAATCTTTGGTCGCAGTAGCCTACGAGGGCATGGCTAAAAGGCTAGTGCATGCCAAACGAATATGTGACATAATTAAGATAAAATTTTTTTACAGTTAATTAATGTAACATCAATAAAATAAATAAAATTAATACAATTAATTTTTTTTATCAATTAAGATAAAATAAAATTTATATAATATGAATAAAATAAATATATATCACATAATATATGTGAAAATTAAAATGATTAAATTTTATTTTTATATATATTTTAAGATTTTTTAAAAATTTAATTAATTATAATTTGAAATTAATTAATTTAATTTTATTAGATAACTAATTTTTTAATTAAATTAAAATTAAAATTTTAATTGATTTCAATAAAAATATTAAAGATTTCAATAATTATTGAAATTATAGTTTAAGGGCAATTTTGACCTTTAGCTTCACTCTTATTACTGTTCACTACGTTCCATCGACGGCGAAGATGAGGTGTTGATCCGATCAGGCCCGATTCCGGATGAGAAGAGTCAAAAGGATCATGAAACTTGACAAGGAAATCAACAAGGTTAAGTCGGAGGCTTATTCCTGGTCTCCTGTTTCACCGATCTTTTCCTACGATTCCTCGCCGAGAGATCGGCCGAAGTTGCCACCGAGAAGAAAGAAAAGAAGGTGAAGCTTTATCACCTGAGAACCGCCGTTAGAAGGCATTTACTAACAAGCGATTTCCTTCTTGACTCACTTCCCATTCCGGCAAGTCTACGCAATTCGTTGCTCGCTCGGTGACCGATCGATATCGTTCCCGGCCGTTTGCTGATAAACCCACCCGGTTGTAACTCGCTGCATAGACCACTTCTTTCATAGGCCTGGAAATGAAGCTCCGATTCAGATAAATGATGCATAGCTCTTTTGACAAATTTCCTTGTTAGTCAATTTTTATTAATTATTAAATTAATCAAACTGGGATTAGACAGTTGATTCATGCAGCAGCAATGAATTTAAATTTTAGCATTTGGAATCTCTGTTATTTTGCCGCGGCCTCTTTGTAAAATAAAAAAATTAGGGCATTTTTTTTATGGGAAACTCTAGCTATTTGATTATGAAGCACCAAAATGGAAAGAAATGAAAATATTTTACATTTTATTTTTCATTGCAATGACAATTGTTAACCTAAGAATTGGGACAAAAGGACAACAGATAAATATATAGTGAGTTTTTCTTCCCCTTAAACTGACTTAACAAACTGAATTTATTTTCTGCAGACTTATCTGTTTTCCTTCTACAAACGTATGATAAACTGTTTCCATTTATTTTGCATTAAATCAGAATGGGATTTAATGATTTCAAGGTGAAAAGGGCCCAGAAAATGTTGACACCACTGAAGCTGTTTCATCTCTTAACTGAGAGGCGAAATTGGGTCGAGGAAATGTACTTTTTCCTTGCACCTTCTTTCCTTCTTTTATGAATGATATACCTTGAGTTGCCGAGTTTATGCTGTTTGATCCCAACTGTTGGATACTTAGAGAAAGCCTCCTGTTTAAAGGGGTTGCATTGCCATAACCTCCATTCAAACTCTTGTTTGGAAGGCGCCGATTACTGGTGGCTGGGCTGGATAAAATGAAGTTTTCCTGCTCAACGACTACCTGGCTCTGGACCTTCTTTATATCCTGAAAATATATCACCTTGTTAGAAAGTAGGTGTGGGTAAGCCGGTCATTGTGAATGTCGAATTCTAGTTTGGTTGAATGTGGAATTATACTAACCCGTTGCCTTTGCTTTTCTTCTTCTCTTTCTTCCCTAAACAGGTTGTACTCTTCCAACATTGCCAAAAGAGGTACCTAGATAACCATAGATGTCATTTTCCACATAGCGGCTTCTTTAGTAATTAGGTCATGCTTGAGATACCATATCAAAAACATAATTTCAAGTCACTGGATAGAGAGTTTTAAAGCCAAGTATCCCAGTGATCCATTCAAGTGTTGAGTATTCCATGCCTTGATGCATTCCCTAGTGATTTGCCTATAACTTTTTTTTGGTTTGTTAATGTCTTCTTATGATCTATTTTAGTAGTGTTCTTGTGGAGAATATCTGATTAATGTTCTATAATCATACTCACAAAAGAACCTTCTAATTGCCTAAGTTTTGAAGTTTAGGACAAGAAATAGTGGGTATCATTATATCAGCTTTACATAGATCTGAATCTTGCTGTGAGGCAATCTAGACCTATAATGAATTAATTTTAGTGTTAAATGTGCTGATGAAGCTATTCAACATTAACTAAGAATGAAGTAGTTTAGTGTTTCCTGAAGCTGGTTTAATGATCTTAAGAAAAAGGGTTTTGTCAAGGAATTAATTGGTTCACTGTATGAGTAGCTTCTATACGCTTTCAGGGGGAAGGTGTGTCTTAAATTGAATTTGACTGCTTATTTAATTTTGACCCAAAAGGTAATAGCATGTGGAAGTTCAGAAATAACTAATGAGGAGTAATGTTAGATCTGAAGTCCAGAACAAAAAAATTGAACCACTTATGCTGGATTTAGGTGCTAACTGTTTTCTGATTATGCTGGATTTATATTGATCTTTCTGTTTTTGAACTACCATCCTGGGTCTTAACTATAAGTGAAGAATGGTGCTTCTTTTTCCTTTTTTAGTACATGCACATTACTGTCACACTATCAAAGAAACGGACGTTTTGTCAATATGTAATCAAAGGAATATATGATCTTACCTCATCATACAAGAAAACTTTCCTTCTTTCTTCTTCCCAACTCTTAGTTTTTGCTATGAGTGAATCCACCAATGCTGCATGAAACTATTTTGTGAGAATTTATATGTCCAAAAAAACATAAATACAAACATTCATGCACACAATAAGATTCACTGTTTGACACTGCATGCTTCAAGGTAGAATGCTGAAGGCTTCACACAATCTAATTGATTATGTACCATAGTTCAGTGATTAACTCGGCACATTTTTATAACTGTGTAGTTCTGGCTGGTTAATGAATTCAGTGTTCTATTACTTATGCTTATGCACCTTATAAAAAGTTTCTGGTTTGACAAAAGTAGGTCAATGCAACAAGGGCTTCAGCTTCTATGGAGAATGACTTTTTCTGATATGAAGGAGCTTTTCTAATTTACCAGGGATTTTGTTGACTGTTACTCGCGCCTTTTCTGCACGTCTTAGGTTCCTGTGAGCACCTCTGCTGACTGAATATCTATTATCATCCTGAAAATATTTATGAAATAGGGAAAATGAAACAGATTCAGTGAGAGATATAACCAACTAATTATGCAGATAGATTGTTGTAAGATCATTAACCATGCTATATTCTTCAAGCCAGCGCTCCTCATATCGGGCAAGCATCCATTTTTCCACCTTCTCCATTATGAATTTTCTGCTAGAGGTTTCTTCTTTTGCTCTTGATATCTGTTCATCCATGCTCATGAGGAGATCGGCATGGTCAATCTCCCCTTTTGTATGTTATAGTTAGATCATTGATTACCTCAGATTTAAACAAGAAAATAAATTTTGAAAAACATGTTAAGTGTTCAATCCCACCTGAGTTTATCAGGTTTAGTATATTTTCCATCTCCGATCTTGAAGGAATCTCCATGTGTGATTTGTTGCATATCTCTTCAAGCTCTTTCTGTTTCTTTAGAAATAGCTCTTTCATTTTGCTTGCCTTTAATTGATCCAATCTCTTGACTTCAGCTTCAGCCTTGAAACATTAAAAAAAAAAAATTTTTCAGATATATAGTTGTTCTGATAGTTTGAAGTGATGATGATCTTCTAGACCAACCTGTTGGATTATATCCAGGGTAAGGCTTCCAGGATCAGATGCTTCTGCTGATGGAACTGATAATAGATCAATAATGTTGGAAAACAAGTAGCGATCTCCATAGGATGTATCCATTAGGCTCCACAAGTTTTTCAATGCTTTACCAAGATGGTGGAGCTGCAAAGTTGACAGAAATCAAACAAAAGATTTTGTCATGAAAAACTTTTACCTTATGATTGAGCTGTAGGCTATCAAGGAAAAGGAAGAACAAGTGATTGTGGAAGAATCTTATGTTATTCATGGCAAATTGAGGAAGGGAAGGCCGGTCACTCCAGTAATCAGAGTCTTCTGTTTTTACCATCATTTATGTTTATGTTGTCATTTATGTGTACTTTTTACTACAGACCGACATCAGAGTGGCAGCTCCTCTAACAAGATTTATTCACAAGAATGCCAACATGTCATTTTACCTTCTCAAGCCGCTTTTGCTTTTCTTCTTGGAGAGACTCCACAGTGCTGTTGAGTTTGGCCAAGATGCCATCACTTATGTTTTTTGAAATCCCACACAATTCATTCAAGCTCGGGTGAACCTTTGTAATAATCATGGAGGATTCTATCGCCAAGGTGGCAGACAAATTGTGAACAGCAGTTATATATTTTTCCACTTGCTGGAGTCTGTTGTTCTTCGGAAGAACGAAACAGGAAAGAAAAGTATTAGATCTGTACAACTTCCTTGATACAAGTACAAGGATATTTTATTGTACCTTTTCATTGTGGAGTCTTTGAAGCTCATTCTTATATTCCTCGAGTCTCTTCAAAGAAAGATCATTCTTGTTCACTTTGACATTTGTTATTGATTCGTCATACTCCGATTGGCCAGCAATTTCGGCAGAGATTTTCTGAATTTGCCCTTGTACATCAAGGAACTGGTTTACTCTCTCTTCTTTCCTCAACCGCATATCTCGCAATGCTGGAGAAATGGAATCGAGCTGTTGCTTTAGTGTTCCTGACATTTTCTCTGGCTGCAGAGACAATAAGTAGAAGGAGGTCATGAAACCAAGCAATAAACATTAAGAAATACTTTCGTCACAACTCCCATGCTAGATGCTCCTACTCTGCATCTTGACTGGATCAAAGCTAAGGGTGTACGTCAAAGTTAGGTTGTGAGCTCGATTTTTGTTTATTTATATTCATTTATTATACTTAATGAATCAACAATATTCAGGTTTCGTTAATTAAATGAATAGATTACAAATAAAACGAAATTGGTTCATGAAAGGTTCTTTTAATCAAACGAATAGATCACCAACGTAGCAAACATCATTCATATTCAATTTGTTTACACCTCTAATCAAAGCTCTGCATTTTTGCCTAATTTTTAGAGTAACAGGGGAAATTTCTTCTCTGTTGTTCCTTGTGACAAAAATTAATGAAATGTTGTTCCTTTTGGGCATTTAATGTTTTGAAATATATGCAACACCATGCATTTTTGGGGTTTTTTATTTTGTATAAGTTAAATGTGAATACTGGCTTCAAACAGGGCATAGATTGATGAAAGGTACCCGTCCAGGAAGAGATCGTTCACCAAGTGACAAAAGAAGGTGAGTAAATTCAGCCTCAGATTCTGCCAATTCCTGATGCAGGCGAGCCCTTGATATATTTGCACGGTCCACTTTTCTCCTGTAGACCTCCAGACACTCCTGTTCTAATTCTAGTAGAACCTTTTCTCTTTCTAACTGATCTTCTCCAACTTCGTCCCATATCATCTATCCATTACAATATCAGAAAATGTAAAGCAGATTACAAGCACAGCTTATGTCAAATATTAAAAGGTGCAAAAAAAAAAAAAAGAAAAATTTTTTGCCTGCAGTTCTTGGAGTAGATATCCACATGATGTTTCTAACAATGCAGAGCTTCTCATTCCCGGAGGCACTTGAAATGATCCCATCTGATGATCCATGTATCGATGACAGCTTTTACTGGGACACTTGAAACTGCTAGAAACTGGACGCTTTGGCTAGGACACTTGGAATACAAGAAGGTGGAAGCTGTTGGTTTGAATTCTTTGTATAAGCAATCAAGCAATATTGAGAGAGAGAATAATGGGCTGTCAGCTTTTGGGTGTGAGTTTTTGCTTAAAAGACAAGGCTGACAGAGGTGGGTGACTGGGTGCTCCCAAAGCTTTGGGTTCAAGGGTCATCCAGTTTTGTGGATTTTCCAGGTTCAGCCTTTCCCTCTCCTCATTATTTTGATTTTAAATATGAAAAATGACAATATGACTCTCTCCAGTTTAATAAGTTAAGATGAGGTTCTTTCTTGAATATAGTAAAGTGATGTTTCTTATAAATATGTAATTTAACTCGATTGGTTTACTTAAATAATATTTTCAAATCTTAATATTTATAATCTCTTCTTTTATTCTCGTACTACATTCTTTTTTTTTAAAAAAAGTGATGTTTCTTATTGCAATAATCAAGATTTTATGTATCCTATGAACATATAGCATACGTAAAGTCTTAGATTTAGATTTAAGGGGAACTTTGATTCCTACGCAACCAGTGCCCGAATGGAATAGTTTTACATCCAGTGTTAAAATGTCAGACTCAAAAGCAATTATGTTTGTTTTTGTTTTTTTTTTTCTTTTAAAAGGTCGGTCTGAAATTAAAAAAATAAATTAAAGTGTTGAAATTTAAACCCCTAACTTACTGAATGTCATCATTTAAAAGTGATTACATAAATTAATTAAATTAAATTCTTAATTTAACGGTTATGCTTTCATAATGTGATTCAGGTGCAAAATGCCACTGATCAGACTTTGAGGGAGGCCTCGTTGCACTGGTTTGGAGAATCTGAACCATCTGATGCAATGGTTCAGTCTTGAGCAATTGATCTTTTCTAACATGGAGTAGTACCATATAATTGTGAAGGCTCAAAGATATCCCAATTTGCAATAATTTTGAGATCCCATTTTGATTAAGGAACATAATGTTCATGCTGTTTGGGATTAGTTAGTGAATCATTTTCAACCCAATACATTCTACCTCATTAATTCACCTTTTTAACAAGATATAATGGGAATTAAGGTGTCTCTTCCTTATCATTAGCCCTCATTCAAGAATGAATTTAGGTGTGGGGATTTTGAGGATTAGATGCCAAGGGTGCCAAGGATGGCTAAATCAGGGCCTACTTATATAAAGAAGTAATCTTAAACCCAAGCTCTTTTACTTTATAGTTACAAGTACCTGTCTTGAAAAGGAAAAGTGAGATCTCCAACTTGGGTCTCCAACTTGTCTATCATGCAGCTGCTTTGCAACCTCATTGTGCGGACAAAAAGCTTCCAACTTAAGATTAGAGACCATGGGCATTAGGGAAAATATAAAGTTTTTAAATTTTTTTTATATAATGTTCTAGAATGATTTAATTTTTTAATTTTTGCAGCCTTTTAAACAGATATATGTCAATCTTATAAATTTGATTCAATTGTGCAATTTAGAAATCTACCGTTAATATATAGCATAATAATATATAATTTCGTTTTTGATACATTGATTATATAATTTTTAACTTCACAAGGCAGAGTTATAGGTAAGAGTTACAACTATAGACCCTTGACTACCTTTTGAATTTCTAGTGGGTTGGAGTGGTGGAATCCATCAAAGAAGAAACAAGTATCAAAATGATGAGTTTATGGATCCATTTACGAGAAAAAGAGGAACAGACGAGGGATTGTACAACTTTAAAGTTAAAAATAAATATATCATGGGACTGAAATGGTGTTTGGGTTATTGCTAACAGAGAAGGCTATAAGAAGGCATGTCTTCAATCCGTAGGACATCATCCTTTAGAAGTTCTCTCTCCAGCTGAGTCCGAGTTGATTTCAAAACATCCTGAAGAAAACAGGCAGACAAGGTTTTACAACCAGCAACCAGCAGGAAAATTAGTAAAGATTTAGCCATAATTGCCTTTGCAAGCACTAATTGGGGAAAAAGAACTTTCATAGGTGCAGATGCAACATTATGAGCGAGTTTCTCACATTGAACTCCATATATGTGGCATTTCTCTCCAGCCATTGCTTGTCCATAACCACGAAAGCCACACAGTAAAGCAAGTCAAAGGCCCATTCATTTTCTGAACAGTTATTGGAGAAAAGGGAATCACAGAGAAATAATCCAGTCAATTGGTGCATGTAATAGTTTATATTCAAGCAGATTTGCCAACTGCTGTACATTTTTATCTGAGCCATTTCACCATCGATAGGTAAGGCAATACTTAGACCGGAAACAACCCTCATGCTTTTTTACTAGGGTTAGCTGCATGCTCTTACCTGATAACATCTGTAAGAAAACTGATCTGATAAACGTCCTCGGCTTCGCTGCAAATGAATATGTTGGCATTAGCTTGCATCCTCATGTTAAATGAACTAATTTCAGGAAAAGTAAGTGAGCATTAGCAATATAGCCAGACTACTGAACAAGGAATCACACACCAAATTATTATACTCCAAAAATTAATTACTTGATAGGATATTCAGAAGTTCAAAATGAACATAGTTAAGGTATTCATTTTCCACTCACAGGCATCAAGGTCTAGCATTTGCATGATCATAAATGTAATATTTACACCAGCAACAGCAAAGGGATACTCCCATGCAGCTCGCTTTCCTCCCTGCTTTTGTAATAAACGTTGAAATGATGTCTGCAATAACAAGTGACAAGTCTCAGATTGAACAATGCAAAATAGTGGTGGTAAATTTACTTGGCAGCGGCTCCTAAACTATATAGTTGATCCTCTCACAAAGTGATTTCTGTATTATCTGATGCCATAAACAGAGTTTAGAGCAAATGACTTGAAAGCAAGAACTGTAACTTATACCAAACAATGCTCTAGAGTCTTGACAGTGCTTAAGCGAATTGGCTAGCTGATTAGAAATCTCAGATTCATTACTTACCGAGAATGTCTTGGCAAAGAATAACAGGTTCTCCAAAGAAATGAATCCAGCACCTCTGTTTGACCAGGAAAAAAAGGTCAGACACAGAACAAAAGAAAGAATAAGCCAAACAAAAGCAGTAGAGTAAAGCCAACCTGAAATCAGTAGATGGATCCCTTCCTTGCCATCCCATTTCTTTCCACTGATCAGATATCAAGCCATGGAGCTCCTGTCCAGGGTACGTAGCAGACCATAATGCTCTCAGCGCTTCCTGTTTTCATGAAAACTTTCTATAAGTTGGCTGACAGGAAATAGTTTCTGACAAAAAGTGTAATAGAACTGATAACTTAGATTACACCATCGTTAGATATAGCTATTGCATCCTAATGTGTAAGGAGATTTTATTGTTTTCAGGAGAACATAGGCCCTCCAATTCAAGTTAGTGTCCTCCATGGACAATATTATAGTTTAAAGCACCTTCACATTAACATATCAAATTTGTGAAAAAAAAAAAAAAAAAAAAAGAAAACGTAAAAAGCAAACCTGGTGATCTGGCCTAGAACCATCAAAGTAAACCTTCATACGGTGCTTCAACCTCTTCAATCTTTCTTGCTGCAATTTGCAAACATAACTATCACATATAGGGAATTTACATGAATAAGTCAAACAATAAAACAATGTAAAGAAATTTTGGAAGAAAAACGAAAAATCAGGGAAAAAAAAAAAAGGTAGCCTAATGTTATGCATATTGCATTCTTGCTCAAAATGGTTTAAAGTGCAATGTGATAATTTTTATGGTGTTGATCTCCTAAAAAGCACAATCGAGACAAAGTGGCGAGCTGGCCAACTCTGAGAAACTTAATTTTTGTTCAGGATTACCATGAGTAAAGAAGTAACCTTTTTTTCAATATAATTTTAGTTACAAATTGTATGCAACATTCAATGCATAAAGTTTTTGTTTGTCAATTTTAATAACGAAAATGATCATCATGTACTTGCCTGTTGGGGTGTCAAGTTAATGTAGATCCGTTCATAAGCTTCCTTTCGCTTGAAACAAACACAAGTAAGGCCCTTACCAATCCAAGTAGGCGTCCCACATGTAGCAGCATCTGCACACAACCATTTGAGCTCTTTCTTTTTACCTTTGCCATCCAAATTTTATCTAGAGTCACAGCTTCAATCCAAAAAAGTAAAAAAAAAATATATATATATATATATATATATCATAAATCAAGCAGTAGATAGACCATTTTTTGGTTCTTAGCAACCTGGCTCAAGAGCTACTCCAAACCATTTCATATCAGCCGACGTCGAAGACCCTCGACTCTCAAAGCTCCTAATACTTTTCACTCGACAAAAAGAAGAAGAAAAAATCAGGTGGTCCAGAAACATCCTATTCCATTTTCCACAGCTCGTTTTGTTGCGTCCAGCAAGAATTGGTCCATGATTTTTGTATTTTAATGAAACAAATCATTGCAGTGGATACAGCAGCTCTTACCTTTTTCTCAGAGGCACTGCTCTATAAACTTGTGGGTCCCAAGTACCAACATCAGATGACTGGCCTAGTGGCTACTGCAGTTAACGGACATGGACAACCGAGAGACGAGGTTCTCGTGCACGCGCTCCTAAACTTACGTAATTTATACGACAAAGCCCCAACAGTTAATATTTTGCCAATGGTAGTGTAGAAAGTTAGAAGATTTAATCTCAATGGCACTGTCGTAATTCACCCGACAAACTCAAAGAATAAAAAACACAATGAGTTTTAGAATATGGACACGCGCATTAGCTGTTAACGTGGGACCTCCTTCCCCAACCATATGGACACGTCAGTATAGTCTCCCATGTGAGCACTTGATCCAAAATGGTCGGAATCTGTACAACACGCTCTACGAGCAGGCGTGAGGGAATCGCCAACAGAAAGCGGGTGTAGTAAATTCTAAGCAAATATTAGTAGAAGAAAGAAAAAGAAAAGGGATTATATTTAAAGATAAAAGACTTTTTAATCATAGTATAACTAGATTAAATCAAACGTCACATCAGATGGTCAACTTCGTACCAAAATGGGGTACATGAAAGTGGGCTATCTTGTGAACACAAAAAAATCTTCAAAAATATTTTATTAAAAAAGAAGAAATAGTGTTGGATTCGTCTAGGCTTCGGATGGGGTGGCCTGCGTCCACCGGCTAATCATGGTCCGTTACTGTGGGGGTCACGGAGAAATAGAAGGATAATGATTGAACTAAGGGAAAACGGTTGGACTGCTACAGAAACCCTAAATTGCGCCAAATCCGACATAATGAAAGTCAAGAGAGATCAATGAGTGGGCAATGGAGGAAGATTCTAATGTAGATTAATCAGTAAAGAAAAAATTTTTTCCTTTTTTCGTGGGCTTGAAATAAGCGTCAAACTTCTAGCTTCTGATACAAGGAAATGACAGAATGTCCACCCATTAAAACATCAGATTCGTTGAGATAGTGCTTATGTCCCCCATTGAAAAATATTCATCATTATCCCTTTTTTCTTTTTTTTTGGTTTCGTTTTTGTTGTAAAAAAAAAAAAAAACCATTTTGAGTTCTACGTTAGAATCATAAATCCGACAAAAAAGGAAACTGATTATTAGTCATTTGAGCAAATCTGAAAATTCTATAATTTACACCATTGCAGGGGGCATTAAGAACTAAGAACCGCTGGAAATATATATTTCAATTGATAAAATGAGCATCGAATTAAGAGAGAATACCTGAAGAAGCAGAGCCGTGAGGGCAACGATTGATGGAAGAAGTAGAGAGAGAGCGGATCGCCAGGCAGCTTCCTTGAGTCCTAACTACACTCATTCCTAATCTCAGAAAACGCCTTTAATCACCACAATATTTTTATTTCTATTCTTTCTAGTTATAGCACTCTCGGATGATAAGAGCATAAAACAGGAAAAAAAATGCAACCAGAAAGCAACAAGAATGAAAGAGAGAGAGAAGGGAAACGGTTCAGGTTGGCCCCAGACTTCTTATGCAAATGAGGCAGTGGGCTCAATATCAAAAGTCAAAACTACCCTGATAATTTTTTCTGCTTTGCCTGGGGGAATAGGCTTTTTTTGCTTCTGGATTAACTTTCTAAGTGGTAAACTATTTTTTTTTTCAATTGATTTTCGCATATTCTATAATAGTTAATTGAAAGCTCGTGCGCATAACATCTTTTTTTTTTTTTGGATAAATCAAGTATAGCAAAAATATTTTAAAAAGCACATAAATTTTATTATTTTATTTAAATAAATTCTTATATTATTGTATCCAATAAGTTATTGATTTTTTTTTGTATTCAAATAAGCACTTAAATTTTAATTTGTATATAAATAAATTCTTATCATTTAATTTATATCTAAAGAAATTATTAATATAAATCAATCTTTTATTTTGAATAAGAGCATATTTGATACAAATAAAAGAATAAAAATTTATTTGAATTTAATAAAAATATAAAAATTTATGTGATAAAATTTAGAAACTCTTTTAATATTTTAGATATGGTATAATATGTGATGTTATTCTTGAATGTTATGGGATTAATATACTTCCGACTGCATTAAAATTCATTCAATTTCTCCTTATAAATCAGTCCTAAATTAAAGGAATTATTTTATTTACAATAATTATAGTACAATTAATAAATTATAATATAAAATTATATAAAATCCATTAAAATATAGATTTTACATTTATGAATAGTGAATCTTTACATAATTTTTTTATTGTAATTAGACAATTATAATATTGTAATAAAAAATTATAGATAATATAGTTTCTAAATCGAAAGCTTAATATGCAAGGTAGAGTTGACTATACGTCATTCAAACAAATTCTCCAATCAATTGATCCAACATGGTAAAATTTCGTTTATTGTTAAAAAAAAAAAAAAGGAAACTTGGACTTTAAAAGGAGAAGGAAACTCTGTGAAAATAGAAAACTCTTTTTTTTTTTTTTTTTGGGAATATGAGAATTGAAAACTCTTGTGAGCGTAGAGAGTGTATGTATCCCTTGATCAAAGGCAAGATGTCCAAAGCAGTCCATTAGATTCCACATGGCAGGCAACACTCCGACCATGGATTGATTAAAGTCGGAGAAACTGTTTCAACAATGAAAACAAAATATCCATGTTAGAGTTTAAGCCAACGCCACTCTCCTTCAAGAGATTGGTTCACACACATCCGTGTTTATTATTGAAGGCCGAAGGAGGTGTTTTGTCGAGCCGGGGAAACGCGTGAGTCGGGTGGGGACTAATCATGAAATTTTGCAATTGATAAAAATACCCTGACGACAAAAAGAAAACATAAAAATGGCTTTATGTGTTTGGAAGTTAAGCAAGCTGGCTAAGTTCACTTGAATGTGTAATGTCTTTTACCTACGGATGCTCTGAATTTGAGATTTGATAGACTGCCGAATGGTCTTACATGGCGAGATTGAGCGAAGGCAAATAAAAAAGAAAGAAGCTTTGGAGGAGACCCTTTTGAGCCTTAAAGGCAGGGCAACAGGCCAACAGGAATCATGGATGTCACCCACACTGCTTCCAGAAACGCCACCGCCTCAGCTGTCTTTGTTTCTCACATGGCTGAAGGATTTGCCTAGTAATAAAGAAATTCGAGAGGCAATGGCAAATATTCCCCATTATAGATTAGAGAATTTACCATGTTTTATGCTATTGTCCCTGTTGAGAAAGTTGAAATTAGAGCCAAGCTTTGCTGTTTTATCCTTACAAGTTACAGCCTAAAAGAAACGGCCCTATAAGCAACATTTTTCACTAGTACAGGCGCCTACAGAGACTGACAACATCACCGATGGCAAAGGAGGGATGATTCAACTCGATGATCAACTGCTAATAAACTATTAAATTGAATTACATACTCCCTGGTTCTCCATACATTTTCAGGCATCTCATCCTTCTCCACCTGGTATGAAACTGACCCAAACTGTAAGGTGACATCGTAAGCTATTATTCCTCCAACCTCCACCAATTTCAGCACTTGCTCATGAAATTTCATAGAATCCTTCTTTTCGGCATACACAAATACTAAATCGAAGGTCATCAATTCATCTTCTTGCAATTAATTTTGTCAACTGAAAGAAAGATGACAAAAATTTGGCAATGCAAGGGCGGCAGCAAGAAGGGAATAACCTGTAAAAACTTCGATTTCCATTGTCTTCTCGGCATTCATAATCTTTAGAAGCATAGATCGGAAATGCGCTTCATCAGCGGTCACATTCATGATGCTCCTGCAAGAAAAAGAACCAAAATTGGACTTGTAAGAGTACAATATTCTAATTAGAGAAGGCCAATAGTACTATTTTAATACAAATGTTCTTCTGATTTTCTCCATTTCTTCATCATTGGAGAAGGCTAATCGAGCATTCATTTTTCTGTTAACTTTTTCTAATAAATTTTTTCTATGATCTCCTTGGGTTTTTCTAGGTGGCTTCTATTAAGCGTTGTCTTCTGCGTGTATTAGCTTGAAAGCAAATAAATAATAAATTCCTTTTCCCCTTGTTTTACTCCACCTTTTTCTGGGCTCTCTTCACGATTTTACAATTCCGGAAAATGCAAATTTTTACTGAGAATGAATGAAAGAATATATGGCTCTTCATCGAGATCTTTCCAGAGGTGGTTTTTGTTCTAAGTTTTGTCAAATTAATTTACTAAATCCAGTCTTGTATTGCTAGAATTGATATAATAAAAGAATGCTCACCAAAAAAAAATAAAATTATGAAAGTATAAATTATACTCCTACTAGCATAGATTTTGCCAGTGTTTCTTCTGCAAAATCCAGAAACCTACTAAATGTTGACAGTGCGTAATTTGACAAACTGGGCCTTTTCTCAGATTGTGAAGAATCCATGCGATTTACAAATTGAGAAGAATCACTTGAGGGTCGCTCTGGTTCAGAGTTAACGGAATCCAAACTGTTAGGTGCATTTTTTGATCCAAAAGGTAGAATAGCCATTTTTCTTTATTAGAGATGGTAAATAATTAGGAGTAATTTTAATTTTTTGATTGAACTGACGAATCAAGCCAGACTTAATTCTCCGACGTGATATCAAGCTGACCACCTCATCAGTCCACTCACTAGAATCCCCTAGATGCTAACACATTATCAACTTACCAAGTTTTCTTTGACCCCAGGGCTTATATAAGATCTCTTAGACCAGTCACCTTACAGGTATAAATAGCATCTTTCAAGTACTATTGAATCGATTTTCATTTTTTTTTTTTAATATTTTCTTTTCTATTTATTTTTTTGACCGAACTTTAAATATCAGAATACAAACACAGAAACCATTTCCTTATTTTTCATTGCTTTTTTTCTTTTTTTTTTTATTTCAAAATTTTACTCGGGCTATTAGTTTGGCACCAACACAAACCTTGCTAACAAAAGTGCAAAATATAATTTTAAACTTCAAGACTCCATCTCAAATGACAAAATATAATTCATTTTTTTTAAGAATTTAGTATTCTATTTATAGATTACATGACTGTTGACAATTACAATACAAATTTTCTATCTAAACAAGCCCGCACATGCAATTTCACAAGACAATGTCCAAGGTTCAAAAGCAATGCTAATATATATGTCAAAGATTATTCTAACTGATTGAAGCAACAATATGCAAGTTTATTATGTTTCAAACTACTTCACCAACATGGAAGAGTCAAATACTGAGTTATGGTTGGTTTTTCTCTAGTGAAGACGCCTGCAGAGAGTTAGGCCATCGCCAATTGAAAGGAGCGACGACTCAACTCGAGGATCAGCTGCAATAAAGCTATTGAATTCGATCACAAAATTTCTGAACCTCTTAATAAGGTCGTCCATCACTTCCTTTTCTGATTCTGCAACTGAGCCATACCATAAAGTGTTGTCATAAGCTATAATTCCTCCGATTTTCACTAATTTCAGCGTTAACTCATGAAATTTAAGATAATCGCTTTTATAGGCATCCACAAATATGAAATCGAAGGTCCCTTCTTCGCCCTGCAAAGTTTGAAATTAAATCAAAGCAGATATTAATCAAGTAATTAGCATGATACGAAGTAGATTGAAGACAACCCATTTTATGTTTAGCAGTCGAGTTTTCATACTTGTAAAACATCAAGTGTTATTATATATATACTTACATTTTTAATCAGATCATCTAAAACTAAAAAGGCATCTGATGGGATGAACTTGATCTTATGCTGCATTCCAGCTTTCTTAATAAATGGTGATCCGGTCTCATAAGCTTCTTTGTCAGGATCAATTGCTATAACCTGCCAAAAGGATAATTTTTTCACTCGGTACTTAGAAATTAATCAAATCAGGTAGCTACAAGATCGTTTTACTGGTAAATTAATGATAAGTAAAAGAAAAAGAAAAACAGAGAGATCAATGGCATAAAATAATACCTTGCCATCCTCAGGCAATGCAAGGGCAGTAGCAAGAAGAGAATAGCCCGTAAAAACCCCAATTTCCAGGGTCTTCTTGGCATTCATGAGCTTTAGAAGCATAGATATAAACTGAGCTTCATCAACAGGCACATTCATGACGCTCCTGTATAGAAATTCAAGTAAATATGGCATTTTTAACTGTGGTGTTTTCCCTAATTTTTTTATGAATTATTACATTATCAAATTACAAATAAAAATTATAACATCAAGGAGTTGACAAGAATGTTACACTAGTAAAAAGATCATCCCAAAATACATCCCAAGTGAAGAATTTAATGTTTTGATTCTTGAATCATGCAAAACAAGATATGAAACAAGATAAATCCGTCTAAAACTTTGATTCTACTTATACCATAAATCCAGATAAAACTATCACCATTAATTTGACCATAAAAAAAGAACAACTTACAATTCTTTATACTTCTGGGCACTGGCCTCTCTTAATTCCTTCAATTGCTCATGTTCTTTCGGATAGGCACTTGTTTGCAAGATGTACTGCAATTAAATAAGAAAATTAAAGACATGGTAATATAAAAAAAAAAAAAAAACCATGCAGATAACTCTTGTGATATGAAATACCTGTAGAAGGGCATCGTTTCTAAGGATGGCCTTCTTGCTCCAATCTGCCATGGTTTAAAACTCTTGCAATGGCTTCACCGATTCTTCCTTTTTTATACAATGAATTGCAACGAGCAAATAATTTGCAAGTGATTTTATTTTATAATAGATGAGATGAATACTGATTATTAACTTGGGTCAATTGTATAAAGCATATGAATATTTTTAAGTTAGCATTTCGCTTTCATAAATGATTTATTATGTTGTAATCCACGAATGAACATAAAAGAAAAATGGAAAAGAGTCAACAAAAATCACTATTAGTATGAAACAAAATGAAAAATACTAGTAATAAATTTAATATATTTAAAATTTAAAATGTAATTTAATTGATTCGTATATTTACTTTAAAATGTGATATTTAATAAATATAAAAATTAAATCTTAATAGTTATAATATTTTTTTAATTTTCAAACTATAACATCTTTGGTAAAAAAAAATTACAATATTTGAAAAAAATGTTAAATAAAAAATGAAAAAAAAAAGAATAAAATATTAATTTAAGTTGAATATGTATTTTCACTTATTTTTTTTATTTTCTCCATATCAAACCAAAAAAGACAGAGTGACTGAGGATGCACGTAACTTTCGGCATACCATATATATTATTACCCAAAACAGTAGCTATCTTACACCATAGTTGTAAACTATTCAACACCTCCTGTTTGGTGGTAACTATTCCAATCACCAAATCAAAGTTGTCAAACATTTTTATAAAACCATGTTCTATAGAGAATATGGAAAGATGGTCCCTAAAGCAGCCGCCCTTCATTAATACTTTCAAATTTTAGAAAATAAAAAATTTTAAAAGAAAATTTTTTAAAAATATTTTTTATTAATAGAATTGATAAATTTATGAAATTAAATTTTAATTTTTTATTAAATAATTATTTAATTAATGATGTGGAGTTTTTGATAATACTAACAATAATGAAATTATTTTTTAAATATAAAAATTTATAGTAATAATTAATTATTTTAATATTTTATATAAATTATAAATAAATATTTTTAAAAAAATTTTATATCCGTCACAGTCATTCACGAGAATTTTTTAGACATTTCCCCTGTCCGCAAAAGCAGAGTTTAATTTGGAGTCCAAAGTGTCATCGTTGATATCATTATCTCTATCAATCCACCCAACTGGGCCCCTTCCCCTCCCAAAATTCTCAGTTTACAAGCAACCTATCGCAGTACTACTAATTATTAGTAGTAGTTAATCTTTTTAAAAAATTATTTAATTACCACCAATATTTCACAATTATGGTTCAATTTCTAGCTAACAACTTCGTTGACAAAAAGGAGGAAGGAGAGTCCAAAAACGAAAGGAGCTCTTTTATTTAATAATAAAAATATTATATTATATTAATATAAATAATTATGTTAGAAAATATATTTACAGTAATTTCTATGCATGATTTTATTGCAAAAGATGACTTGCAATATTTATTAAAACATAAAATTTTTTATATTTCAAATCACTACAACGTGTTATAAAATTATAACGTCGTTAAAAGTATTAGTAACAAATTTATATTTTTTTGTTGTAAAATATAATTTGTACTTGACTATAACAACATAAAACTATGGCCTGAAAAAAAAAATACAATATTTATATAAATTACTCCAAATATATAGTTTTATTATTAAAGATAATATTTCTTGTAATGATTTTAATTTCACTTTCATTGTGAGTCAAATTCATATGGACTGATGGCATCAACAATATTAAAAAAAAAAAAAAAAGTGGTAGTAGTTACAAGGAAGAAGCAAGAGTCTGAGATTATGATAAGTCTTCCAAGTTTTGATTACGATAATATTTAAATATTTTTATTATTCAGGGGCCTCTTGCCCTTAAATAATAATAAAATAATTACCCTCGCCAAATTCCCAATTGTATCCTTCTTTGTGGTACTCCACAAAATATGCTTCCCTCTTTCTTTCTCCGTATATTTTTGGCCAATGCAGTAGAAAAGACAAAAAAAATTTTAACCGATGAGTTTTTATTCGATTCGATCTTTTAAAGTAAATTTTTTTTTTTAAAAAATTAAGTATCGGATCGAGTCGGATCAGATGACATGAAAAAAAAGTCAGGATCAAATTTTAGATAAATTCAATCCGATTTGACCCGATATATATATAAATAATTTTTAAATTAATTTTAAAATTTTTTATTTATATATATATTTATATAATGATATTTTTAAATATTTATATTTAAAAAATAATATTTTATTAATTTCGAGTCCAATCAGATTCGAAGTGATACCAACCCTAAATGCAAGTGTCCCGTAATGATTCTTACTACATTACATTTATACCAACAATAAAGTGAAATATAATTAATTTTAACATGAAGGAAACAAATTCTAAATTATCTCTGTAGGCTAAGTTTTAAATAGATTGATATGTTATTAAAGTTGATTTTTAAAAATTATTGATTTAAAAAAAATTTATATACGTAATATTTTGTTGAATTAAATAGTAATAGAATAAAATTTTTAAAAATAGATCGAAAATTTTTCAAAAATCTAAATTATCTCAATTTGGCATTAATTAAAAAAAAGAAAAAAAATCTAACTATAGCCACGTGGCAGATTCTTCTACAGATTAAAGATAAGATATCTGATGTGTCTCCATTTTTTGAAAGCTAAGAGTCATTTGCCATCCAATAATCAAGCCAATAAAAGAAATAGCCTTTGGCAAAATTATAACACAAGCAAAAAAATTAACTTAGTACTAATGTTTTCTTAATCACTTGATTTATAAAAATATTTTGAACAAAACAATTCAAAGGATGTTTGAGATTGAAGAACCTCATAACTCATGGAATTTATTATTATACCCAATATTTAGAAGAAAATGTTGCAAAATAAATGAGAAAAAAAAGAAAGAAAGAGAAAAGAGAAATGAATTACCTTTGCTTGATATCTAAGCACTCTTTAGCTTTGGAAACTCTTCCGACACTGACTCAGCAACAATGGACAAATTTCACTCACTAACTCTCTCAATGATTTTGTTAGAAATTTTCTCTCCCTCTCTTTATCCTTTTATAGGCAAACCATATTTGAATTTTATTATTATTGCCATACTTATTCTCATGTGATACATACTTTAAATAAAACACGTCAGAGTGTCTAATCCAACAACTTTGCATGTTGACATTAAGACACTCTTTATTAAAGTATGTCGTTTTTCTTGCTTTTTAATTTATCTTTTTGTAAAATGATTTAAAATTTTTTTCTTAGTTTGTAAATTTCAAGGTTAAGAATAATTACCCCTGTGAATTTTGTCCTAAAATAAAAATATTTCTTACTATAATTTTCTATGTCTAATTTAGTGTTTTAATTTATTCAACGCATGTAATGCAGGAATAACTAAGTTTCATGTATAAGATATATAAAAAAATCAATTTATACATTATAAAATGAAAAAAAAATAATGATGTAATTTTTAATGCGATAAAAATAAAATTTAGTGGAAGTTGAGACACGTGGTTTTTTTTTAGACATTTTTCGTTTGTCAACCTTGTAAATTGGGTTTGGTATAACAAGACTTATGTAGTTCAAGAAATAAGACTAATTTGCTTGTATTTTTTTTTTTTTATCAAAGAACCTATTACTTAAAAATTATAATTATTTGAATCTAGAATTTAATTAAATTGTTTTGTATAAATAATTTTTAGGAAATAATATTTAAAAATTTTAAATTTCAAATTTAGCACTTATAATTTTTTTATTTTAAAATTAGATTTGCTATAGAAAAAAATAAAAAATTACTTATCCAATACCAAAGAGTAAAAGAAAAAGAAAGAAATTACCCGTTAAGTAGGTAAAATCTTAAAAGAAAAAGTTTCAAAGATGTGAAATCTAGGGAGCGGATCGCCGAAAAGGGCGGAGTAATTTGTAAAAGTTTGTCCTTAAAAGCAAAACAAGAGTAATAATTAGGAATAATTATTGCTTGTTAGTTTAATTGAAAACAAGATGTCATTTTTTGAGTTACCCATTTCTCTATACGGTACAGTATATTTCTTTTTGTTTAGCTCGTAATTTATGGAGTATTTTTTTTTTTTATAAAAACAAAGATAGTAAAGATAAAAATTCTCATATTGTGATATTTTAATTTCAAATTTATTAAATATTATTTTTTAAAGTAAATAAATTATGTTATATCTATATTCTCTTATGAAATACACTTTTTTATACATAAGATAAACATAGTAAAAAATTAATTCAAAATCAAAATTTTTATATCTTTTTATATCATTAAATAATGAGTCAAAAAATCAAAAAATGATTTGTTTAATGGATTAAAATTTATTTTTTTTAATAAAAAAACTTTAAGTTTGAATCATGTCTGTGATTATTCGTTAAAATTATTTTAAATATACGATTTATAATAACTTATTTTAAGTTATAGATACATTATATTTTATCTTAATATAAAAAATTAAATAATTTATTTATTTTTTAATTTTTCTTCAAAAAAAAAAAACAAAAGTCAAAAAAGTAATTTTGTACGAAATACTTAGTTGGAAACCATATTGCTCTTCTCTATGTTTAGGTACAGAGATGGATCAAGGCCCATTATCTAGAAACTCGGTTTTGAATTTTGTAAGTTCCAATTCTTACTTTTCTATAGCCGTCCCGTCTAACAGTGGTTTAGGTCGAGGTTTTATTTCCAAGGTTGATTTTTTTCCTTTATTAATCCTTTCGGTGTTTAAAGTTATTAAAGGATATGTGTTGACTTGATAATTTAAAAGACAAAGAGATAATGAGATAAAATTAATAAAAAAATATTAAAGTAATATAATTTAAATTTTTAATAAATATTATAAACAAATTTGATAAAAATTAAAATATATTTTATGTTATTACAAATTATGACATATAATATTTGTATAAAATATAATATAAATATATTAAGTATTAATATTTTATATAATATAAATATATAAATTATCAAATTTAATTGTATTGTATAATATTTAAGCTTCGCTGTATGAAAAGTTGAGAAGTATTTGTCTAGAAAAAAAAAAGAAAAGTCCCAGATTGCTGCTGAGAAGGAGGTCTGGATTCAAGTTTTTTCAATCGTTAAAGGCTTTCTTTCTGTCCTTGGTAGTTTGGATGCTTGGATTTTACGTGTAGCTGGTAAGCCAACCTTCACCAAGAACTTGAAAAAAATGGTTTAAAAGACTCTTTGAAGTCAGCAATGAGT